CACAAACGCACAACCACAAACACATCCACATTCACGCAACCACAAAAACACAACCGCAAACACACAACCACAAACACACAACCACGAACACACAACCACGAACACAACCACAAACACACAACCACAACCACACAACCACGAACACACAACCAAACACACAACCACAAACACACAACCACAAGCACAATCACAAACACGCAACCACAAACACACAACCACCAACACAATCACAAACGCACAACCACACAATCACAAACACGCAGCCACAAACACAATCACAAACACACTACAAACACAATCACAAACACGCAACCACAAACACACAACCACAAACACACAACCACAAGCACAATCACAAACGCAACCACAAACACAACCACAAACACACAACCACAAACACACAATCACAATCACACAATCACAATCACACAACCACGAACACAACCACAAACACCATCACAAACACACAACCACAAACACAACCACAGCCACAATCACAAAAACGCAATGACAAGCACAACCATAAACACAATCACAAACACACAACCACAAGCACAATCACAAACACACAACCACAAACACGTAACCACAAGCACAGAACCACAAACACAACCACAACACACAACCACAACACACAACCACAACACACAATCACAACACAATCACAGCACACAACCACAGCGCGTAACCGGAGGATCTGAGTTTTATGTTTAGTTGGGCACAGGTTTCCTCATGAAAGCATTCGCTTCGGACAAGCAGTAAGACTTGGCGCTGAAGGACTTGTGCTGTGGGCTGAAATGCACAACGAGGGTGATGTCAACGTGCGGATCACTCGAAGCAAAGTAATTTTTTGCTGTAAGAACAACTCCATACAATTGCAATAAGTGTTGAGCGCCGCTCAAAGGAATTCCACGTGCGCGCACCCGGGACAGAAGGTTCAGCAACAAATATGCGGATTCGAGCCTCCTTTGCGGCAGAAATGAATCTATAAGCTCCTGGATGGCTTGGATCAAAGATCCAGGATGGTCATGGACCCCAGCAATGCCCCAAACCAGGTTTAAAGGTGAGCAAAGCCGTAATGCCCAAATTAGGTTCCTCATTTTCGCGCTTTGTATCGGCCAACAGCATCGAAAAGGACCAAGAGATGTGGCAAAGGATTGAATAAGCTTTTGATTGTTGAAACTTTTTGATCCAACTTCCACCAACCACTTGGCTCCGCAGCCCCGAAAACAACCACCGAGTCCAAATCCAAGACACGCTTCGTTTGACAGTCTTGTGAACAAAAATCAGTCCACACACCCGGAAGCAGCCTGCCAGTCACCTTCTGCAAATGGGTCTTAGGATGTCTTAGGTTATCTTAGGTTGGCTAAACATGGTTCAACTCTTGGAGAGGTGGTGGCGAGAGCGAGAGAGAGATAGAGAGAACGAAAACGAACGAAAGACAGAAAGACCCAGAGAAAGACCCCTAGGAGAAAGACCTGGGCACCATCACACCGGCGCCTTGACACATCGACTCATGTGACGTGTTTGGACTCCGTGTGACGGTGCCCGTGCACCGCGGGACCTCGGTGTCGTTCGACTGCCGATGGTTTGTCGAAAGTAATTTTTTAAAAGGGGATGTGTGACGTGACCATGTGAATGTGACGGATCAAGTTGAAGAACAAAACAGACGGTTCTTTCTTACAGTAGTTCCAGAGTAGATGGCACTGGCACCCCAAGATGTCTTTGTGTAAATAGGGTCCACATAAACCACCTTTTGGGGATGCTGTCATGTACTGTGAAGTTACTACATGTTTTCTTTTCAAGGGGATGTGTGCACACTGTGTGGACCAATGTGTTTTTTGTTCATCCCAATCTACAATCAGACGAACGAGAAAGGCATGTGGTGGTCGGCAAGAATAATTGTTCCCCCTGGAACTGATCACGTATGAACTCACCAGTGACCCGCAGCGAAACAACATGAACAAACAAACAAACAAACAAACAGACTCACCAATGACGAGAAACAGTTGTCTAGTACTATTTTGGGGTGTCCTATTGGTGTAACAGGCAGTACGCCACTATCAGTATCACTTTTTTAGGGAAAGACCCATCCTTTACTAACCATCATCACCCATTGCCACAGGGAATAGGATACACCCAAAGTATCATCACTTTTACCAATCGAAGATGAAGCTGCTGCAACCTCTAAGGATTGGAGGTGGAAGGCAAACCATCGAGGAATTGGATGGAATTGATTAGTCTCGTCTCCACTTGCTAAATAGACAGGAGGGCTTTTTCAAAGGGGGGATGGGGATTCCCTCAAGTGGATGTAGTGTTTGGAGGACACATCATGACACATCAACCTTTTGCCGTGTTCAAGTTAGTGTTTGTGTTTTTGTTTCCCTTGTTTTTTTCTATTCGCACCGGATCGGCGGAATTGAAGAAAACACTGACCCCGCGTTGAGTGTTCAGTCCTTGTTCACTTGACGGGGATTAAATTAAGACACTTTATCCATCTTTATTGTATATGCATATGTTTGTGTATAATCGAAGGTGGGGTGTGAGCTCCCACCTATACCTATACTCAAATATTAGATGCCCAGACCTGTTTCATGTAGACCTTCCAACCCGTACCTGTCGAGTCGTCCATGTGTCGAGTCATGACAGCTGACAGCGCGAGTTCTTGGACTTCGTGGAAGACCACCGGTTCGACGTGTCGGTCCATGTGGGTTCGACATCATGAGAACTCTTTTTCGGCCGAGAATCCACCGTACTCACCAAGAAAGCACCACGTTTTCTGACCGTACTGAAAGCGATCCAGGCTGCTTTGCTGGAGAAGTTGCGGTGCCTCGATCCGGGGATCGGCACCGATGACCCCTACGTCGGTTTGGATGCCCCTTGGACGATACGTGGAATGAAACACGGCGAAACGCGGCGAACGCCCGGGCGATATGTGGAAAGGAGCGAGGAGAGACCACCGGAGTAATTCTCTGGTCCGGAGGAAGGACCGGAGGTCATACGCGTGCACCTTGTTCGGCACCGTACGGAGAAGACCTTTCTTCGAGAAATAGGATTGAATCCTTGGTGCTTGGCTTGAAAGTGGTTCAAGTCTGCTGGCACAACCAGTATCAGTAACTTGTAGGACAGTGCTATTTAGGTAGAGTAGATGTGTGGAACAGAATCTCCTGAAAACCAGGTAGTTTCGGGGATTGATGTATTGACCCAAATCGTGCAGCTGCTTCATGTGCTTCACTGATTGGCCTTGGGCTGAACAGTGGACGAGACCGTCGGACGGTGCCAAGGATAAACAAGTGGTGAAGCTAAAAGCTGTCGTGCCAGGTCATGCCCATCTACCTTTTGGGGCCTTAAATCGTGGAGTCAAAGTGTTTGCACCTGTATCAAGGCAATTGTTTACATTAGCAGCAATGGCAACAACAAGACATATTGTTGATGGTTGTGAGGAAAACGCCTACGGGCCTACGATCCTTGAGAATCTAAGAATCTACACTCCAAGGTGGTGTTTTCAGCAGTGCCTGGTGTTATTCCACGAGTGTTGTGGGGTCCAAAGGGAGCAGGGTTCACCATGTTTGACTTCCAGTTCACCATGTTGAATATACATGGATATTAGAGCGTCACTGAGTCACTGATGTTGGGGACCTGCCTGAGATCTGTGAGCCGCTGAGGGAGATTTGGAGAGAGAAGCCTTGGAAGAGGATTTCCAGTTGACCAAGGATCTCTACTCTCAGAAGGCTGCTAAGGCTGCAAGAGAAAAACTGAAGGAAAAGGTTTTGCCCGGGATCACAGTGGAAACATGTGAACACATATTCAGACCGTTGTTGCTGCTACTTTGAACCTTCTTGGATGTGCATAAGGAGTTGACTAGCCTGCCGCGACCGCTGTGAAATGGTCCTGGTAGGGGGTGCTTTGCCAACGCAACAATTTGTGGGGCAAGGTGGTTTCAGGAAGGTGATTTCTTGGGATGGTGTTTGTTTTGGAACTTCAGACTTGTTTCACCTTTTCATGAACCAAACACCTGCAAAAAAGGCCATCAATGATTTTCCTCTTAGTTTATGCACTTCTGGTCGCGTTAAGCTAGACGGCCCGTGTTGTTCATCACCGACCAAGTCACGTCCGCTGGTCGCGGGTTCACGACGCGTGGCGGTTCCAAAGAGCCGAGGCTTTGGATGAGGGCCTGAAGCCCATGCAGGACCAGCCGAGCCGACGAAGCGTACTCACGTGGTTTTTTTAAGCGGATCCGGGAGCAGAGGTTTGGACACCAGACAGAACCCACAAGAAGTGGTACCCTTTGACTCACTAACATGGAAGTGGAAAATCATTTGTTGGACGACGACTGTACCTTCCTCTACCAAAAGGTTTTTTCCCACTTCCATTCCATGTTAGAAGTTAGGAGTCAGAGTGTAGTCAGTGTAGTCCATTGGCCGTTGGTGGCTCCTTGGTTATAGATTCAGTTGACCCACTCGGCCAACGTTCAATGCAAAGCTGAAGTTATATAACTCCCTTCAAAAGGGCAGTTGGACCACTTTGTTCAAACCTTATATGGACCTACCATGCACTACCTTCCAGCAACTGGCATGATCAATTTGAACTTCCCACCCAGAATGAACTTCGGCATCGAGCGTTGCCCGCCACGCCAGGAGGCGGTGAAGCGTGTGCAGAGCAGGGTGACCTTCCCAGCCAACACCTCCTTGGTGGCCACGGAGTCGGCAAGAAGCGATGCCCACGGAGTCGGCTCATTGCTCCACAGGTTGATCTCGTTAGTTAGTGTTACACTCCCTGAAGCGATCGTGGAATTGGAACATGGCCTTTGGATGGCCACTGTCCTCTCCAAAAGGGATTTTCCACTTCTATGACTATTCCAGGGATAAGGTCGTTTCAGGGCTCGAGTTACCTACAAATGTGGACAAGGGGCAAGGGGATCATGCACCAATGCTGGGAGGTGTGAACACGGGGGACGTGAGGCGGGGTGGGTGATGAGTAGATGGGTTTGATCAACCTTGTGCTGGATGTTTGATTCATGTTTATGGAGATGTCCTGATGATTCACGCCACTTGGTAAGACTTAGGGGCCTTCTCTGGGGGCTTGCCCCATCAATGAATCCCGCTTACCCGAGATGCCCACATAATATAAAACCCTGTATATCCCTTGAACAGGGTTTGAAGTAATCGATCAGGGCTGTTATTAAGCAGGAGAATCTCCAATAAAGCGCAAAGCAAGCTTTTGGGGATTGTTTAGTTTTTTTGTTTTCTTGATTTTGTTGTATAATGTTACACGAGTTTCTTGGGTCAGTGATTCAGCTCTCCCAACAGCTGAAAGATCCTCAAAATCGGAGGATCAGCATTCACTTGTTCCCACTCAGGAAGTCTATCCAGGCAAGCATTTCCGTGGGGGAGAAGGTTCTTCGGGTGAAGAAGTTTGTTTTGGGCATTCCAAATTCCATTTCTTTTGTTCGATGTGTTTCATTGTTGTTCTATGTTGTTCAATTGTGTTCAACGTGTTTGCGGATGCGTCTCTCCTCAATGTGAACTCAGGAACCAACAACTCAGACTTCATCTCCCGGCTTTGTCAGCAGGTGTTTTCCGGTCATGGGGTGCTTTTCCTTCCCATTAATTCCTTTGGCCTCGGCCCAAGAATGGAGTCCGAATGCCTGACCCTAGACCACCTGATCAGTTTGAAGGAGACAACAAGTTGTCAACTATTGTCAACTTGTTGATGCAAAGAGGCCGAACAAAGTCAAACTTTATCAGATGTTATATGTTGGATGCACTTGTATATATCACCCCAATGATTGAAACGTGTTTCAGACCTTCGCGTGATTTGCGTGTTGAGTTCCTTTGAGGAAAGCTGCAGCCAGAGTCACTGGGATTTGCAACAATCGATGAACACAGCAAAATGTAAATCTAGAGGGTGACATTGGCAGCAGAGGTATGCACCATGAAACATGTTCAGAACTCCATCCCAAGGCCAACACCTCAGAGAAGCCATCACTGGCCCCTTTAGCAGAGACTGCAGACACTCAGAGACTGCCATCACCCCCTTGCCAGGCACCATTATGTTAGGGGATGCCACTGGTTGTCGGGACATCCCAGCCTTGCGCCGCTTCCACGTGAAGAAGGCATGCAGTGATGTGGAACTTGGGTGTGCCGGAAGCAGTCAGCGGGCATTTTGAACAACCATTTATGAGAGGAGTAGTGAACACTAGTGATCAGGGAAAAGGACGGTAATTGGAGCACAATTGGTGTGAAGCGTTCTATCCCAAATTTTGGGATCCAGTAGTAACAAGAAGCTACTAGGAAGAAGTGCATCGCTACTAGTAACAAGTGCCTTACTAGTAGTAACAATGTTTGCTATTAGGAACAAGTGCCTTACTAGTAGTAACAAGAAGCTAGTAGTAACAAGTGCATCGCTTCTAGGAACAGGTGCCTTACTAGTAGTAACAAGAAGCTTCATTCGAGCGTTTTCTTTGTTCCGCACGCCTCGCCCTACGGTGACATGGCCCCCTGCGGATCCGATCGGATCGCCTGGAGCGGAGATTGGAAGCTCATCCATGCGGAGATCCTGTATGGCTAGTATTACTCACTACCATGTCAACATGTACATTAACAGCGTTACAGCATATAGATCTCTATTATGCATCTCAGCATCGCCCAAGCACGACCAGTGCACTGGTAGTGTCCTTGCCATGAGGCTTCTTCTCTACCAACTCATAGCTGCCAACGGCCTTGTGCTGCCAGACCTCATCAGTGATGCCAACAACCTTCTTCATGGCCAGAGACCCACAGCTATGGCAGAACTGCCTTTGTCCAACAGTAGAGGAAAGGAATGCTATGGATGCGGAAGATGCTAAGAGCAGGTTGCACTTTTTCCTTTTGGCCCTCCTCATCTCCTATGTCGGTTATGCGGCTGCAGGCACATTGATACCGCAACTGGGGCCCAGGTTCAAGTCAGGCTACGGCTACGGCGACCATGGCCCTATTGAGTCAGAATGGTGCATTGAGAATCAGAGAGACTATTGCTTTCTGGTGTGGGTCCTACATTTGCTCTTCATCTTTCAAGCGGTTTTTCTTAGTCTTCGGACAGGGCGAATCTCCAAACTGGCCTTGTCTGGGAGGTCTACTACATTCTCTTCTGTCTAAGTGGCCTGAATATGCTCGCCCAAGCGGTGGCTGCTGTAAAGCAGGAAGGGCCTGGACAAAAGTTTGGATTGTCAGCTTTCGCTGAGGCCACAATGATTGGCTCAATGTGATTGGCGTTTCAGCCTTGGAGTACCTCATTGGGCTGCACGTCTCAGCTTATGTTAGATGAGAAGTCACTACAAGATTTGGTCGCCAGTTTGTTGCCAGTTCTGATGCTGGAAGCAAAAGGGGCCTGGCTCATCAGGCACTAGCTCTTGCTCTGAAATGCTTCTGTACATGGTCTAACAGCAAGTTACCCCTTCGAAGCAGCGACCGCAGTGGCCATCCTGGCTTGTGTCTACGTCTACGTGCACATTGAAGGCGGCTCTAGAATGGTGATGTGGCTCAACCTGGTTATCCCCTCACTGCAAGTCTTGGCAAGTCGCCTGGTGCGCCCATTGTTACGCCACCACCTTGGCTGGGTCGTAAGCTCGACTCGGCCATCGTCAGGCAAGACACACCCGGAGAGAAGTGGCGAGAGGAGGCGGCCTTTGCTGAAGATCTGATTTTGTTTGGCATGACCGCACCGCACTGCCCCTGCTTTGTGGAGGCATTTCCTGAATGCAGAGATGGGAATGCGCTAGCCGCCGAGGAATTGCATGCGCATCCAGGTGGCCTCGGAGTGCGACATCCAGCGACACATTTCTGATACTCGAACGCATGCGGCTCACATTGCGGGATCATGCTTGCGTGGAGGCTCTAGCTTCAGTGTACCGCAGGCTGCCGGATGCACGCCACATCGCGAACAACGAACAAATAGCCGATGTGCTGGTTGCAGCCTGCAAAACGGACCAGATGACAGACCACGTGAGGCTTGAGATGGTCAAAGCCTTTGAGATGAAGGAGTCTGAAAATTCTGAAATGAACTTTGCTGGGCATCCCCTTGGAACAATTGGAGCACAGGCGGTCGCGGAAGCATTGTTTCAATGAATGGAGAAGAAAACGCGTTCGTCTTTGCACTGCTGTGCATGGGGCCCGCAGGTTCTGTTCAGCTGGAGCAAAGCGGTCAAGTTGCGTCCAAGCCATAGACATGGAATGAACACATGACATGAGGGTGCGAAAAAGCCCTTGCCACGGCTGCCACAGTGTGCACCAAGTAAAGCATTAATCGAGCACAATGAGATTGGAGATGAAGGCGTGATGGGGCGCTTGCGAAAGCAATCCGGACCAACGGCACCTTGTATCAAATCAACTTGGCATACAACCGAATTGGCAATGAGGGGGCTTCTGATATGGTCGACGCCCTTGAGATGAACGGAACCATCAGAAGCATGACCTTCTTCAGTGGCAACTGCATCGGACCTCATATGGAACGAGCATTGGAAGCCACAGGGAGAAGAAATGGTATTAAGATCCATGTATAGGCCACAGATGCACAACATCTCATCACAGGTGTTTCTTTTTGATGACAGAGCCAGGGTCCTCAAACGAGGCAAGTCGCAATGCATGAATGGCAGTTGAAACATCTAATGAAATATATTATATACCTGCTAAACCTTTACACCAGCAATTCCTGGTGCAAACCTGGATTCTCAAGAATTTGGATGTTACATCAACAATTCCTGGTGTACACTAAGAATAAGCGATCGAGTCCGTTCGAATGCAATCGGAACCGTGCCTTGCTGAGGTTCTTGATTTCATGATGATTCCCAACTCCAGGAATGGCTCCAGAGTATGGACATGGAAACTCAAGACATGCCTATCAAGAAGCATGGCATAGAAGAAGTGAACAAAGCCCCTGCAATTCCATCGAATACAAACCCACACATGTGCTTTTTTGAGTAAAATGTCTCTTGGATCCACAGATCTCAAGAAATTTGCAACCCGCGTCACTCCCAGCGATACCTCGAGATCCATGTTTTGAACGCTGGCTGCGCTGAGTCAGGCTGATGGGTCAGGGCAGTCTGGGGTGAGGCCATGCTGTTGCGATATAATAGATGCCAAAAGTAAGTGCATGGCTAAGCACCCACAAGTGTTCATGAGCTCGCCAACTTTGGGTGGCTTTTGAAGAAAGATCAAAGCTCACTCACCTTTGCCCGTTCCTGCAGGGCAAAGCGGTTCAAGTGGCTTCCAACTCGCTAGCACCCCAAGGCTTGATTTCCAGGACCAGGCTTACTGGTATCAAGCCCATGGCGGAAGATCAGGTTGCTACAATTCCCAAGGACAATGAGTCTGAGGGCTCCGGTGGCGATTGGTCTGGTTTGGCGTTGTTGTGGGACAACCTATCGTTGGTTCGCCAGCGTTTCCGTGATGGCCACAACTTGGTGCTTCACTATGACTCCAAACTGAAGAGACTGACTGACCATGCAGTTGAAAAGACTACCCAGAATGTCAAGATGAACAGTGTGGTCCTCACTCCTGTTTGTAACCTGACCCGTCGCAGTGGCAGCTTACCGAACATAGAGAAGCTGGTCCAAGAAGTGAAATTTGTATTTCGATTGAACCAGGTGATCATTGACACGCCAACTGCCTACAATCAGGGATGGGCCATCCGGCGTTTGATGCAAGTTCTCAAAGGTTCAGTCAAAACCCGATTTGTTCGCAAACATGGTAGTGCTGAGAAAGAGAGAACTTACACGTGGCCGAAGGACCAGAGTTACAAACCACATCAAGCAATTTTGACTCAACCTTCGAAGGTCTCCATTCCAACCTTCTTTTCATCACTATCCTTTTAACATAAAGGTCAAAGGTGCATGATCAGACTTTGTGTCCACAAGTTGCACAAGGTCTGCAATTTGAACCGGTCATCCCTGAGGACCCCATCATGCAGGACTTGCTCATCACCTTGGGAATTTTGGAGAGACAGGCTGTCATGGGTGGGCTCAATCTTGTGCACATGGCAGTTGAAGATGTTACTGTAGGTCTCCAGCACTGAAACCTTTGAACTGAATTGATGCATGGGGCCTATCATCCGAACCCTTTCCCTGTTTACCCTCTGCAGTAGCCACCGGCCTCTTCGCGCAGGAAGATGGATCCTTGAGGATATGTGAGAAGCCTCCAGCGATTGAGGAGCCCAAGGGTGAGGACACTAGGCATCAATAAGCTGTAGCTGACGAAAACTCTGTCAGCGGGGCAGGGTTGTTCTGCACAGGTTGTACAGGTTCAAGAATCGTTTTTATGAACATGTGAGCTCTAATTCCAACAAGCGATCCATTCTGGACTGACTCAACCCCCATGGGCTATTCAAACCTCTAAAGTTGACTCTTATTTGCCGCATTCTGTCCCTAAGGATGCTGCAGCAAAGGGCACCGAGACTGCTGAAATCCAGGCCCTACAAAATGGTTGGAGCCAGCCCAACACGGCAGACACTCCGCTGCCTGCAAAGCCCAGCAGCCAGGCTGCCGAGATCACAGACAGCCAACCCAATGATTCCCAGGTACCAGCCACCGGTGTTTCGGGCGAGGGGCAGACCTACCAACCCGATGATTCCCAGGTACCAGCCACCGGTGT